ACCAATTCAGACTAATTCAGATCAGTTCAGACCAGTTCAGATTAGTTCAGACCAGTTCAGACCAGTTCAGACCAATTCAGACTAATTCAGATCAGTTCAGATCAGTTCAGACCAGTTCAGATCCTAGACTTTCTTCGGCACATTAGTGATGATGGGTTTGGGTCGAGTCTTAAAGATCAGTTTCCGTCTGATGAGCGCTGACACAGAGTAAGACGTGGAGGCGGGACCTTGCTGGTCTGTTTCCATAGTAACCGGATCGACATCAGCAGCGCTGCCATCCTGTGGATGCGCCACGTGCTTGGTGAGGACGGCGAAGGGTTTCTCCAGTTTGACCACCTTCCCGTAGAGAATGTGATGTCCTACGATCAGCACTGGCACCCCCTGGTGGAGAGAAGACACAACGCATGAGCGTGTGAGGAAGATGATTATATTTTCTGTTTGAGAGACAAAAGTTTCTGAACTAAACTAAACTTCTGACGCCATCTAATCCTGAAGGTCTTGATGGATTATTATGTCCATATCTGGCCTCTCTGTGATCTGGTAATCACTCTGCGCTAAAGCTACAAACAGTGAGAAGTTTCCGCACCTCCTTGGTGTAGAGAAGGTCTCCCATCACGTTTCCTGCCAGGCCGGCATTGTGTCTGGACACCATCTCTCCTTGCAGCTCCACCAACAGCCACTCCGCGGGGGTGGCGCCATTCACGCTGCCGCTACAGGAGAGGAAGACAGGACAACCTCAGAGGACCACGCCTTGATTTACTCTGCTCCAGAGAGCGAGCAGTGATGCTGCAGCTACTGAAAATGTCTGTTTTTACTTTTTAAAATAAAAATGTTTATTAGAACTAGGGGTGTGCAAAATAATCGTGATGATGATGCATCGTGATTCTAATTTTCGTGATCTACTGCATCGATTCTTGACGCCAAGAATCGATTATTAATTTAAAAAAATGAATAAATAAAATTGCATGAATGGTTGGCGAACATCAGCCAAAAACAAGTGTAATACAACTTCCAGTCCAGTAGATGTCGCTGCAAATGTGTTGACGCACGCTGCCTTGTGTCACAAGCATTTCCGGCCGTGGGATACTGTGCCGAGTCATTCTAAAACAAAACATGGAGGAGAAAATATTGCAATGCATCGCAATAATTCAAGTATCGTGATGCATCGTGATAGAATCGCATCGTGGCCTGTGAATCGTGATTCGAATCGAATCGTGACTTCTTTGGCAATACCCACCCCTAATTAGAACAGTATGATATTTATATAGGCTGTAAGAAAAGTATTCACACCCGTTGACCTTTTGAAAATGTCATCAGATTCTAACTGTATTCTCTGCCATCAGTTTGGGGGGTTTTAGGTGAAAGGTCAAAGCGGAGTCGTTCAGGGTTGTCAGGTTCAGAGGTCAGGTTTACTGACGATGTTTCGCAGGGACAGCCATGGAAACTCAAGTCTATGTCTTTGTGTTTTTTTCCCCCAGCGTTTTATTGTCATTACACTGTCATAAGTACAGCGCAAAAATTTTTTATTTTTTCACAACACAGGCCCTTTACAAATCAACCAGATCATACAGTCAGATTCATAAAGTTTTCTATCTAAGGAAAACCAGTTGATTGCATTGATTAATTGACTCTTCAGCAATCCCTCACACTAAGCATGCTTGTAGCGACAGTGGAGAGAAAAAAACAATTTTAACAGGAAGAAACCTCCAGAAGAATTCACTCTCTGCATTTAACTCATCCCCTTGGGGAGCAGTGGGCTGCCTTTTTCGACGCCCAGGGAGCAGTGTACGGTTAAGGGTCTTTCCTCAGAGACTTTACTTGAATTCAACAGATTCAGAACCAGAACCATGAGGTGTGTGTGTCCAAAAGCTGCAGAACCAAAGTTCCCTGAAATTCTACTTTTTGATCTTTTGGTGCAAAGGACTAAAACTTTTTTTTTTTTCTGCAAAGCCTTGATGGTCAGTCAGACTCCGCCTCAGGCTTTGCCAAAAATCCAAAACTTTTGTCTATTCTAAGTTTGACTTGGCCGTTTCAACAAATAACTTGGCCGTAGGTTTAGGGTGGTGGTCCTTTGTTGTGCTCCATCTACCTTTAGCGTGAAAAATTCAGTTTAGGCAAATGGGTGTTTAATATATTAATCTAAGTGCTCCTAACTATCAGTTGGAACCGAGGAAGCCTCATGGTTGAGAGGCAAAACGTCTTCTAGAAAACTTCGCCTCCAGTTGCCTAAATTGAGCTTTTTAAGCCTTACCCTGACCTGGATGAATGAATATCTTCCCTCGGCTGGAGGGCAGTATCCCCACAGCATGATACCGTCACTGTCGTGTTTGAGTGTGTTTGTTTTTTCTTTCTCACACAGAACATCTAATGTCAATCAGATGCTTGCGGCGCTCCTTATTAAAGCATAGCAAACTGTCAATGGGACTTCTTCATTTCTTTTAAACATGTCAACTTGCAGATTTTAGTTGATAGTTGTGTCATCAGACTAAGGAGGAACTCCATGATATGATGAACAGGTCCCATCTATCAAAACAACATTTTTAGGCTTCATCTTCACCTGCTGACAAGTGGTTTCACCTAAATAGATACATTGATCCTCTACCATTAGAGCAGTAAACTAGTTTTAATGTTACCATGTTTAGAACAGACAATGGCAGGCCACTTTTATTTATTAGTATCAAATCTCTAATACTTTTTTTCCCTTTAAATTACCATAAAAAATTCTATTTCTTATAGAACCCCTTCATAATATTCTATTTAAACTCTTAAAGTATTCGCTCAGATGACACGGCTGCAAGGCTACGCCACGTCTGAGGCAGAGGAATGTTTTAGATTAAAAGTAATTATTTTTATAACAAGCTAGACTCTTTCTCTGGACTTATTCCTAACAATTTACTGTTTCCCGCAACTGTCTGTAATGGGCTCTATGCACAACTCCACTACTTCCTGAACTTAAGGCGGCTCTTGTTTCCTGTTTTTCATTAGGCCAATGGATGAAGGGATGAATCCAGGTGTTTCTGGCCATGTTTACTGAGCTCAGGCACACCTGGATTCATCAGCAGTGGAGTTATAGAGCTCATAGTTTAGATTAATTGTGCTCTGACAACCTTCACAGGGTTTAAGTTAGTGAGAGGATATTTAGTTTAACCAGAACAGGGAAGAACATCAACCTGGATGCACTGCTATGATTTTACTGGTACGCTATAATGAGAGAATTACCATTTATCTCCTTTATTTAACTGGATTGCATAGCTGAATACTTTTCCCCAATAACACAAACAAAATGACATTCTTCGTATCTAGAATAAACCCTCTGGATGTCTAGAAATTCATTTCAGATCTCCATATTCCTAGTTATTGATAATAATCTGCATTATTTTGACTATGAAGAAATTTCAGATATGATAAACAGTCAAGCAGAATTCTAGGTAATTCTTACTTTTACAATTTTGTTTTTTTGACACACTTAAATACGGTTTCTGCTGCAAAAAAAAAGAATTTACAAAATCTATAATTACAGTATGGAAGAAAAACAGTTTTTTTTTATTTTAGACAGTGAATTCCTTACTCTGAATTTTTATCTGGTTTTATCAGAATCCTGACTTTAATCTCTGAATTCTGACAGCTAGCAAACATGTCTGTTTTAGAAACTAAACTAGCTCTCTTGTTTTAATCACCTTCTGCTCTTCCACTCAGGCATGTAAAAAGTTGCCTAATTCCATCATTTTCCACCAATATGTAACTGGCCCTCCCAAAAAAAATCACATCTTTGTCAGTGAAGCTGAGTGCTCCACAGCTCTTCCTTCATGGTGCCCATCTACTTTAAGATCCGAAATTCTGAGATTAAAGTCAGAAATCTGAGGAAAAAAAAGTCAGAAATCTGAGATTAAAGTCAGAAATCTGAGGGAAAAAAAGTCAGAAATCTGAGATTAAAGTCAGAAATCTGAGGGAAAAAAAGTCAGAATTCTGAGATTAAAGTCAGAAATCTGAGATTAAAGTCAGAAATCTGAGGGGAAAAAAAGTCAGAAATCTGAGAAAAAAAGTCAGAAATCTAAGAAAAAAAGTCAGAAATCTGAGATTAAAGTCGGAAATCTGAGGGGAAAAAAAGTCAGAAATCTGAGATTAAAGTCAGAAATCTGAGGGGAAAAAAAGTCAGAAATCTGAGAAAAAAAGTCAGAAATCTAAGA